GGACCAACTATAAAACAATATTTAGGTTTCTCTCGTGGTCATCTGTTCTACTCAAAAGCCCAATTTTGTCTTCCAGATACAAGGATACCTGGCAAGCAGCCAGGGTGTTTCCAACACACCAGAGGAAATACGCTACTACCAATTACATGGTTATAGCCAGACTGGTGGGGCTACAGGCTGAGGGTACAAATTTACAATTGCACATGCTGTCTTTAAAAAAAAGAAAAGAAAAAAAAAGACTTCTTCCTTTCCATGTTCATTGGAAAGGTTGAATTTCCAAACTGATGGAAAGAAAACTGCATGGGACAGTAACAGAATACACTAGAGTGATTCCTAAATAAAATGTTTGGTATGAAACAGCCCTTTTCCCAAGGTAGGGCTTGGCTGTTGATGGTAAAGTTTACCGCTTCCTCCCATAGAGGATGAGAGCACTGGTGGGAAGTGAGAGATCGCTTTTCTGAAGAGAGAGTTGCATGGCTAATGGGAATGTTCTGTTGGTAGGACCCCAGAATATTTTGGTTGGTGACGGGGATTATGTTTCTGGGAAGTGGTCTGATATGGCGGCGCTTGCTTTCCTTCCTTGGGCGGCACCTAGAACCTCCATTACCTCCTCATGTACGTATGGCTGCCTGGGGTTTCTGCTTCAGACTCTGCATGTATGGTTAATTTCTAAAGCAGGAGGTAAGGCGTTGTAGGGGGGTGGGCTACAGAGCATGGGGGAATTCAGCTCAGCGGCTGCTCCCTGACATGGCAAAGGAGAAGGTTCTCTCTAGCTGGATTGAACTTGGTGGGAAGCCCAGCACTGGCAAAGATACACTTGAGCAGTAAGACACAGCTCACTGTGCCCAGAAGTGAAGCTGAGGCTGATGGTAGAAGCTGCCCCAATTGGCTCTCAGCTGCCACAGCAGTGTGTTCATAGTGAGGGACATCGAGGATGCTGCCCTCCTCCTCCCACCCACATGATAACTCTGGGACTGTGGTCTCTGTCTCATACAAGAGAAGGTAAAGACAAAAGGACAATGAGAACAGGTACTAGCTGTAACATCTCTGGAGAATGATGCCAGGGTTGGGGTGTCCTGACTGCCAATACGAAGTTTGCAACAGCTCATGTGCACACCAGTCATCTTTGCCATTGATGCTGATGGCATTGTAGAGCCCAACTGTACCAAGCTGTATGGAGATTTCCAAGGAGACCGTCTTCAGATTAGCGAGATACTGTGTGGGTCGTTTCCCTGTTGACTACCCTTTTCTGCCGGAGCTTGTGGGACTGTGTTGTCCACCTCTGTTCTGTGCTCTGGTGTTTGTAACAGGGAGGTATCAATGGATTCAAAAGTTAAGTTGCTGCAAGTGACAAAAGGAGAGAAACGGAGACCCAGATAAACTCCCCTTCTTCCTTCCCCTCCCTTGCCACTAAGAGGCAGATGGAAGTAGTTTGTTGTGGATTGTTCATCGTGGCTACAGCTAACTGGATTATCCTCAAGGGTTGCTCAAAGCCAACTCCAGCACATACTGACTGCCTTGGAGAAACGTACTGAAAGGGATTAAGGAGGGAGAAGCCAGAGGTAGCATTCGGAAAATAAAGAAGAGAAAAATCAGGGTTCAGCCTCTGTGAAGCTTTATTTCCTTCTGCCGCATATAGAGCAGCTTCTCGTGTAATTACAGACTACTTTCTATCTTGCCTAGGTTCCTGCAGTTCTGAAAAAATCCCAACCAACAGCTGGAAGAGTGGAGATAAAGAACAACCTTAAAGCAGAAACATTTGGGCTGAGCAGAAGCACATTAACAAACCAATAGGAACAGCAGGAACAAAGGGACTTTTTTTGTTACAGCGTGGACTTGGGACACTTTCCTTGCAAGAATTTCTAAATTTGTTAATTTATATTTTGTGCCAAAAACCTATAGTGAGATTTTAATGCTTACACACAAAAGGAGAGAAACACAAGGGAAAACAGTGACGTGCTTTCCACGGTAATCTCACCTCTACCCCACGTATGTTCCATTAGTTTTGTGTATCATATACGTGTACTTATTTTTTTGGGCTTTCTCATTTCAAGTGCTTCTGTCAAATACTTTACGTAATGGCCTTTCTTAAAGAGAACAGTATTTTCAGCTTCAAGGATGACAGCAGTCAGCATTCATCAATAATTCTGGTTCTGAGCTGCAAATTCAGGAATCTGACTTCAAGTATCAAAGAAAAAGCTACCTTTTGAATGGATTTTTAAGGCCCTACTTAATTGCAGAGAACAGATTTTCCAAAGCAAAAAGCATACTTGCATCTCTTGTGAAGCATCACCTCTAAATTGGCACTAACCAGAGATAATAGTTTCCCGTATTTTAAGTGAGCAATAGCAGGCCTTGAAATGTAGCTGCTTATCTTGGGTATTCCTTAGCAATTAATTTAGGCCCCAAATGTATGCAGTTTTAGTAACAAGGAAAGCGGGCCTACTGATAATGCAGGCCTGTGTTTGCTATCTGCCCTCTTGATAGAGCTTCAGTTTAATGACTCCTCACGTCGCCACAAGGACTGATTCAAATGCTGGTAACCATCAACAAACCAGTTGTTGATTTCCCTTGAGCTGGGCTCTGCTTTCTGTCTTCTCCCCGCAAGAAGACAGGACAATGCACGGACTGGTGGGCACCACAGTAAGTAGCCAGGTTAGTAACGGGTGTGGAAGCCTGGTGTCTTGTGATGGACTAAAGGAAGGAGTAAAATTCTTATGCCCACTATTAGTGTTTTCTCTCAGGATTTATTGCTGAACTCTAAGGGCATAGTTCCCCACTGGTTTCTCTGTAGAAGGAGCATGAAATCTTTCTAAATTGAGTCACAAACTGTCTAGTTTTTGTTTGGGTTTTTTTTTAACCTCTCTGTAACATACACTGAGTAGCTCCTTAGGTCCCACCAGATAAATCACTGTATTGGCAGGGGTTGGAAAAGACAGTAACTGAGGCTGTGAACATTTTTACTCAGGACTAACAACTCAAAAATGGAAATGAAAAAGGTACAGAAATTAGAATTATGCAGGCCTGTGATCCTGGTTTGGTTGTATGTAATTATTTTCAAACAGTTGTTCTTGCTCTGCATGGGACTTCAACTACAGATAAAAGGCATGAGAAGGTGAAAAAATTAATGGCGTTTGTAATGTGTTTGAGATTTTTAGCTGAATTTTTTGCAGCCTTTTTGCTTAGCAGGTAGAAATACATAAAACTTCTGAACTGAGTAATCCAGCAGAAAAAACAATGGCTCACATACACACCTTGGCCAATAAGCCCCAGGAACGCCCAGTGCGTGAGGGGATGTGGATGCTGATGTTTTCAACCAAGTTGTAGTTGCATTAGGCCAGGATTGAAATGTGTCAGTGCAGCTGTTTGGGAAGCTTTCACATAAGCTTTCCAAGCTCTGTCTTGTGCAGAGAGGCTCCTGTGAACTGTATTGACTCCTTTTCCTGTACATAGCTGACTTACTTAAAGCACAATAAAAGCACTGACAGACACATCTTTTACGAGATTGCCTTTCTCTCTACAGACACATGCAAACACTTAATGGTTTTCTTACAGTTTCATCAAAATGTATTCAGGTGCAATAAAATTGCTCTGAGGTCAAACCTAGAAAAAAACAAAGCCAGTGGAGGCTGTATGTTCAGAATGGAATTGCTCCAGAACATGCTGGTTTCATTAATTTTCATTTAAAAAGGAAAACTTTTTACTCTGCCCTTATAAATACACTGCTCGTTTTGCCTCACACCACAGTTCACAGATTTGTAAGGTAAGTACTGTGCTCCCAGTTCCATCAGTTACTTTCATAAAGCTCAGATTTTAAACTTTCTAAGTGTTCTGCTATTTGGGCAAGTCAAGTCCCCAAAATAGATCTCAGAATGCAAGCTAGTGTTCACCTTGCCTTTTTTTTAAAAAAAAAAACAAAACAACCCCCCTGACCAAGACAATTCTTAAGAAGATAGGTTGAGGTGTGTCATCTTGGAATATGACCTTTAGAGTTCTGTGGTATTCCACTGACTTGTGTTATTTGAAATAAAAATAATGCTTTGTTTGTGAAGGAGGCAAGGGAGAAAATATGTGTGCATATGTGTATGGACTAGTGTTGGTAATAATGGCATCACATCTTGCTGTTCAAGTTGTTTAATAGATAATTGATGCACACTTAAACCTGCATCATACAAAATCAGTGTTAATTAGTTGAAGACAATACTGTTAACAATAAAAGCTGTTAAAAATTCTAAGCTACAACAGTTATGGAATTTTACATGAAAACACGAAGGCTGTCAGAGTAGTCTCAGCCATGAGTGCAAAAGCGTTTCCTAAAACTTCGTTAGTTTGCTTGTGCTTCTCTGCCTGGGAGATGCCAACTATTCTACACCTCAACGATTGCTAGAGACAGGCAGCCCTTTTCGTTGGCACTCACCTTTCATCTGGCTTAAGCATGGAAGCAGGGCAGCTCTCTTATTTTGACAGTAACTTTTGATAGCTTAGAATCCTTGTCTGTATTGCCGTATACAAGGAGTTGTAAATTATTTGTTATTCTTTCCTGGTTTTGTCAAGAAAATACTCAAATCTGACCAGTAAAGAAGGTGGTCACTAAACATTCCTTATACAGCCAAAAAATATTTCTACCACAATCTAGCTGCCTGCTCACTTCAGTTTCTTCAAGGTTTTCAGACCAGCTTGCTCTGGGTTAGGTGATGCTGCTGCTCACAACAGAATTAGTTTGTACTTTTACATGACTGACAGTGCTTTGGTTGGTTTGTAAGTCAAACCACCGTGATTGCTCATATTCCCTTTCATTTAAAAACAATGACCATCCCTCCTTCCCTGAATACTACCTAGGACCCCATCTAGCTTCCTGGGACATCTATCTACCAAAAGTTTGCTGTCACATGATCAGCATGGTTGTTGGTTCATATGGGTTAAGGAAAGTATCACAGATACTAAGAGATTCTTCACTAAATGACCAGCTGTGCCCTGGTCTTAAAGGCTGCCATGAACTTCTAGAGTGAGTAGACAAAAACCCTTCCACCCAGTCGAGCTTTCGCTGAACTTCTCTCTGCTGCCACCACAACTTCTTTCTGCGGAGATACAGAACAAGGGTTAGTAAAATGCAACTGTGGGTGCGTGATTGCCTTCAGCTTCCCTAACGGAAACCAGATTTTGTCCGTATCATTAGTGTCACACAGAAATGTGATGAGTAACGAGCAGGAGCAACCCACCTCATCAGAATAGAGGTTAACAAACTGATTTGGCAAACAGACTTTATTTTGTTTGGGGAACTGGAAGAAACAGGAGCCAGACAAATAAATCTCTTGCCAATATAAACTGTTTCTCAGGGGTAAGGTGAATACAGATGAAGCTGGAGTGTGGACTGGGCTGGTGCCATAGCAAAGGAGCACAACTGCTGGGAGAGGTGCCTGTGTTTCAGGTGTTGGATTACACACCCTAACCTAGGTTAGAAGCATTTACAGTTCCAGGTGTTTCTCCATTGCATGTTTTAACAGCAAGAAGTCAAACACCATTTGCTGAAGATCAGTCACACCCCTCCTCGACCTAGCACTGAGGCTTTCTCAGTACTCACACAGAGAACCTCAGTTCTCACAAAGGTTACATCAGAGTAAGCAGAACGTTGGACTCCCCTCAGGTGAACAAGCACCAAGTAACCTTCAAGCTGGAAAAAAGGTTCCTCAGTGCATCTTACAAACAGAGGGATTGATTTTTGGTAAAAATAGCGAGCATCTGAAGGAAACAAAACAGCTACACAAACACACCCAAAAACATTCAAGAAAGAACTATGCCTCTCTATGCCTGGAAATTCTTGACATACGAACAGCGTTCACTGCAAGTGATAGCTAGGACAGCAAGTCTGTAAATACTAAATGAGAGGGGTGGTTCGGTGCCTCGTTTACTTCATAGCTGAGCATCCACTTTGCATGTAGGTTGGCAGGAACAGGAAAGCCAGCTGGCACCTACACTTGGTATACCATGCAACCTTTCAGCAAACTCTGAAGTAGTTTAGATTTCAGGCCATTTTAAGGTGATCTCTTTCAATTCAGGTGTCAGGTGCCAACATTTTGGCAACTCCATAGTTCATCCAGCTATAAAATGGTTTTAATTATCAGTTCAGAGAATGACTGAAATAATGAAAACTTAATTAACTATGTAAAGCACTTAAGACTTCTGCAAATGAGTAAGATCCGTATGTCAGGTGTTGGCTAGTATATGCAAGTGACGTAGAAAGATGTTACAAAGCAACTGACAAGTAATTTTTCTCACCTTTCTTTCAGCTTTAACAGTGATAACAGAACTCCCAAATCTTGATAGTTCCTATAAAATAACATTGCTTGTTACAATGCTGTTTGTTAGTTTTTTTAAAGTGGGACTTTTTCATTTCTCTCAGTAGTTTGTTTTCTGGTTATTTACCTCAGGAGAAATCAGGACATACTGTGCCTGAAGAAGAAAAAAAAAAAAGGAAAATAAAAAGTCAGTGGAGAGGACCACACTAGGAGAGGAGAAGACCAGTGCAATAACCCTGACTGACTCCTAAACAGCAAAGTAATTCAAGAACGAACAGGAGGAACCAAAACACACAGATTCAGAAACATAAGTAAACCACTTGTTTTCTGAAACCAAGTCAGAACACACTACATATTTGTACTGGATGTAGTTAATTAGCTGTCATTATGACTTCATGTCCTGATTTCACTTTTATGTTCTTACCCAGTCCTCAGGACAGGGAGATATCCATGATTTGCAGTGGTCTGTCACATTCCCCAGGGATGCCTGCTTTCCGTTGTAAATGTAAACACGGCCAGCTGCCCCACCAAACAGTATTGTGGTGATACTGCTAGTTCGCAGTGGGGAGGTCACAATCATTTCATCTGCAAATATTTCAAGTTGGCATAATGCATCAGAAGTGAAATAATGCTAAACCAAAACATGAGAGTTGGCATTTACGTACCTCTAGATGCCACAATTCCTATTAATGATGACAGTTAAAATGTTTCAATTCCTGACTGAGTTGCTTGGGATGTTAGAGCCACAAGGCACGATGAAATACTGATACAAGTCAAGTAAGGAAGCAGACTGTGTTTAGCACTTGTATGAGTATGTGGGTGACCAGTCTTCCTGTTGCCAAAAGTAAAACATTTCACCTCTGATCTAGATTCATCAAGCTTTACCTAGTCCATCATTATCCAGGTCACTTAAGTATACATCTCCTCCAAAGCGAGAAATACTCCTGTCCCCACTGAATGTGCTGAGCAAAGAAGGCTTGGTGCTGTCTGTCAGATCATATACCAGAGCCAGTCCAGCTTGGTGCAGCACAGAGGATATAAATGAAATCCTAGACAGGCTATCTGGAGACCAAAGTAACAGAAGTTGAGTGTCAGACACAGGAACTTAGGTTCAGTACTTGCAATATGCTGACAGCAGATAATACTGGCATTACATAACATGGACAAAATGAATATAATTTATGAATAAGATCAAACGTTATATGGCATGAACACTAACTAGCATAGACACAATCTCTTAGCAACAGTCGCAGGGGAAAAAAAATGCATTCAAGTTTCTACATTTTGACTTTCCTAATTCCTTACCACCCACTACCAGACTAAGGGCAAATTACTGTGTTGTTTCAACTCCAACAAATACGCAGTCTACTAGCAAATCACTGCTAAATAAATAATGCAAGGTAATAATGCTGCTAAACTAATTTTCAGGAAGGAAAAAAAAAACATTGAAGTTGAGGCATAGTACAAAGAACTCTACATGTAAGCCACTTGTAGGCGATTACAGTGATTATTTCTATTTTATTTTTTTTAATTTCATGGAAAATAAATGGTCCCTTTTCTAACTTTTAATTTTGTATCTATCCTCTGGCCATATAGAAACAAATGTCCTGATTTTCAGAAGACGTACCTGCAGTAGGTGCCCCCACCACCAAAACAGTCCTTGTGATCCCAGCCACAGACATCACACCACTGGCCAAAGACAAACCCATTCTGCCCATTGCCTGTTGGATTTTTAAAAGACCAATGTCATTTCTACAGAATGTCACTTTATTTCAAATTATTCATGAGGTCCCATACTATAGAAGAGCCATACCTTGTCTCCAGTTACTGCAAACCAGCGCTTTGTGCTTGGTGGATTATACCCATACACCTTCCCAACACTCTGTCTGACATCCGATGAAGAGGGATTGCAGCTTGAATTACAATGCAAAATATACTTGTATGTAACAACCTATTTTTTGTACATTCAGCTAGGGTTGCTCCTCTTAAAATATTTTCCCCTTTTCATTTGGAATAACAGTGGCTGCCAAATTCTAGAAATCTATTTTAGTAATTCCCATGCTTATTCTAACTAGTTACAAGACATATAGGGCACAGACTTCGCCTGTCTATTGACTTTATCACCCAATACATTTTTGTGTTTGGTTTGCTTTTAAAAATACTATCTCAAAGTAAGTGCTCTCTATAGGATTATTATAGGCATGCTTACCTGTTAGCATTTTTGTGCCCCCTCCCAAAGAATCATAGAATCACAGAATGGTTTGGGTTGGAAGAGGCCTTTAAATATCATCTAGTCCAACCCCCCTGCAATGAGCAGGGACATCTTCAACTAGATCAGGTTGCTCAGAGCCCTGTCCAACCTGACCCTGCATGTTTCCAGGGATGGGGCATTTACCACCTCTCTGGGGAAGAAAACCCACCAAATTATTAAGTGTCTCTAAATAAAAAAGACCCTTGATAGAAAGTGTCTAAAGACATCCTCCACTTCATGAGGAAGGATGAAGGCATAAAAATATGAATTCAATAAAAATATTCTAAGCAGGACAAAGAGGAAACTTCCTGAGAAGCTTGAATTCTAATCTATTATGAATCTTAACCATTGCAGAAGTAAGGCAGAATGGAGGACAGCAAGTAGTCATGTACAGCACACCCAGCACAACTCTTCCATGTAGGGCTACCAATCAGCAGCAGTGTTACGTTCTCCAGCTGGCAGCTGTCAAGTGAAAATCCAAACCAAGCATAGTTTTCTTCGCCCTTCACCATCCAGTTGGCATCCTCTACTGACAGAAGTCCTGACAGACCAGAAAAATATGAATTAAGACTTGGTGTACCCTAGCATATAAAAATCTGTTAGCAATTCTCCACCAATTCATCCTATGACAAGTTTCTAGAAGCAAAGTTACACTGTCCATGATATGGCACCAGTTATTGCTAACTTTGCTTGCTTGGTCTGCAACTGTGCTGGCTGGTGAAAGCCTTTATTCAACACAGCCTGCTTCTAAATCCTTGCAATAGCCTACACAAAGTACATGAGAGCTATCAGTCAAGCCTGCCCTAAACTACTGACTCCTCCTTAAGGATAGGACAACATTGAAACTGTTTATCAGAACTTGTAATTCTTCAAGGGCAGGGGAGCATCATATAATTCTGGCTTTAATTCAAATCATTCCTTCTGTGTTTTGGTTTTGCAAAAATGTCAGCCAGCAGTGTTTTGAAACCCATTTTTCTCGTGGTTTCTAATTTTACATGAAGTATAATAAGCTATAAAAATTAAGCATTATTGGAAATCTCAATTACATGATTCTGATGAAACTCTGAATATCTGTGTATCCTGTCCAACCCCTATTAACTTTATTTAGCTCTGTATGTGGCCCTTCCTCCCTCATTCACAACAATCCTCATCACCTGTACGCATTAGCTGCATTCACTTGTAGCATTCCTCTTTAGCCACATGAAGGAGCATACAAAATGATAAAAATGAACAGTCCCATAAAATATGGGAGGAGTAATTTACTCACCTTGGTCACTCCTGTTGAAATAAGAGTAAAATGCAACCACAAATCCTCTCTGCTGCCCACCACCAGGTGCATATGGAGACCCCACAACCAGATCAGCACTTCCATCCCCATCAACATCAGCTGCCAGGAGGGACCAACCAAGATTACAGTAGGAATACTGCAATAAACAGTTAGTTTGAGCCTGAAATGGAACTGAAACCACCAATTCTGTAACAAAATAGAGCAATTTACTTCTAAAGAGCTAACTTTGTCTGCTTCTGATCAAATTACCCTTCTACTCCCTGACTTCAATTTTGTTTTCTTTGGGTTTTTTTGGAGGGCTACACATCTTTCTGTTCACCCTGCTGTTTCCCCTGCACTGGAGTATAAATATCTTTCCCACATACAACCAACCTAGGCAAGCACCAGCTTGCACCAACCCCAGCAGTCCAAATTCCCTTGCAAATAGAAGTTTGATTTTAATGGCTTTTTAAGCCCACAAAAAACCCCTTTCCCCTTTATCTCCCCTCCTGTTTATGTAGCCCTGTGTTAGCCTGATCAATATACCTGACAAGTTATGGTAACGTTTGGTTGAGATGCCAAGCCTCTTCCCTCCGTGCCAAAATAGACATACACAGCACCCTAAACAGCAGGAAAAGCAAATACAGCATGAGAGCATCTGCACGTCAGCATCAAGTATGAAATCCAAGACAAAGCACAGGGAGTGAAACAGTTCTGTAAGGGCTATTAATACAACTGCATTTTTCCTATCAAAACCTTCTCATAATACCGTCTTTTCCACCCCAAACCTAAGAATACCCAAGCTGTAATGGGTAATGCTATAAACAGGCAACAAAATAGAGAAGTACAGAGAAGTACATTTTCATCATACTGTGGGTAAGAAGCAAGGACAGTATAGTGTGCATTACATTTATTACACATACATTCAGGTGGCTCAAATTTTGTTAATTATTATTCAGTGCAATGGCACACAGTGCCAGGCACAATGGAGGCATGCAATTTTCCATACTAGTGGGTCTACATAAAAGCATTTAAATTCCTATTTAGGCACTAAGTTAGTATCTGAAATTCTGAAGAGTTTTAAGCTTAATGGATGTGTTTTAAACCAAAACATTTTGCCTCTCAGTTTGTGTGGGGTGAAAATACTCAGGGACCATTGCATGGGTTTATCTGGTAGGCTGCATGTCATTAAGCCTCTGTAACTTCATTATTTTAGCAAGCGTGTCTGTGTTCATATCACAGTTTAGGTATCATCTGTTGGCCTGTAACAGCAGGTGACAAGGCTCACTGACCCATGAGGTCCGTTCCAGACTCGCTGTTCCTAAATAAAAAGGGTACACTTGTATTTCATGAATGGCTCCTTACATTTCCAGCACATCAGTGCTGCAAAGTTGCAATCTGATTTGGGTTTCTAATGTGCAAAAAGGCCACTGAAAGAGAAATACAGATAGCGGTCATTGCTCTAGTCAAAGTACCCACAAAGGTTATAAACCTTTGTGTTTAAATTAGCATGTCATCTCAAGCAACAACAGAAATTCTCTCTCTCACTTCACTGTTCAAAAAAATATGTATTGATAAAAATGTTCTGTCCAGAGGGAAAAAACCCCAACAAACCCATGTGCGTGGCTTACTTTGTAAGTAAGAAACTGAGATCCCACAGAAGGTGCTCCAATTGCCAGATCTGGCACTCCGTCCTCATTGAAGTCAAGGACCGCCAAGGCAGAACCAAATCTTCCTGAAGGCTAAAAGAAGAGGGATTGCTCTCATGAAAATAACAGATGTTTTCAAGACAAAACCAACAAAACCTAATGCACATTTGCAATCACAGCACAGGGAAGAACTGGAAACAGAGAAGAGAAAAATGTAGCCCAACAATTCTAAAGATTTTCTTAGCGACACTGTTCTCCCAAGTAATAACTGTCATACTAATACCCTAACTCAGAGTCAACTGTTCTGTTTGAGGATGTGGAGGTGTTAAAATGTAAGATAACTGAACACAATATGGTGCTGCTTTGCTGTTTCCTCTTCTGAGCCTAGTGCATCATTGATGTTAAGCTTACGATCTTTCCTGTTAACAGCATTATAGCTGTGAACCCCTAAAACACTCTAAGACAGCAGCTGTTACTCCACAGTTTATAACCACAGAAACACATTAAAAGGAAATGCATCTCACCTCTATTCTCTTCTTTGTGAATAAAGATATTTTCTACAGAGGATCGTCTTTATTACTCACAAAGATCCTGTTTCTCAGTTACAAGCCAGTCACCATCATGTCAAATTGTAGTTTTCTCTTTTTTTAAAGATAACATGTACTCTTACTAAAGACAAACAATGGCTTTGTGAGAAGTTATCAATTAATGAAAAAGGTATTTCAAAGGAATTGAAGCTTATATTGAATGAATAATTTTAGATGAAAAAGGAAGAGAAAAATCACAGTATTTCCTTAAATGCAGGGACCTGAATGAGCTATACTGTGACTTAAAGAGACACTACCTCAGTTTTATTCAAGAACAAATTATGTTCTAACGCCCACTTATCTAGCACAGTAATAAAAGGGAAACTACAGATCACCGTTGCTTTAATTGTTCCTGTGACTTAAGTAACTGTTATTTTTCTTGAAAAGCATATGACATCGTTTTACCAGGACAGGCATTTCAGGAATAATCTTCACACATACTAACGATACTGTTGCGCAGTCAAAAATTACCACATTTTCAGGCAAAAAAAAAAAAAAAAAGTGACAATTGGACTTGACCCCTCACCTGATGACCCTGCAGTACTTGGTCAGCTTTCCCATCTAGATCCATGTCCTCTGGCGGCAAACCTGACCCGTTGCCATAGACCACATACACCCGTCCTATCTGAACATGGCCCAGTGTGCTGTACCCTGGTGCTCCAACCACCAGATCTTCGTATCCGTCCTGGTTTAGGTCAGCTGAGATCATTGCCCTGTACAGCAAGGGAGTCAACAAAATCATAGCATTAGCTTCCAGACTACCACAACATTAGCAGAAAACGAATACTTGTACTTCTGTCATATGACACAGAATACAAAAGATGAAATTAAGGATCTTTTTCACTGAACCTCTGATTTAACTAATGGACTTTAAAGTAGGGAAACAAAGGGATCACAGGTCTCAGTAACATGTTGGAGTTTAGAGAGGGAACATGGAGAGAAAAGAACTAACTACTGTTCATTTGGCTGCTGTGAAGTAAACTCAAGAATTTTTGAGTCAGAAGAAATAAAGCAAGATGAGCAGCAACGCAAATTTATTTCATTACTCTTCCCTGTTGCAGGTAAAGCTAGAATCTCTCTGGCCTCTTTCTGTGTTCTGAATCTATCTTTGAACTCCTACTGGTGTTGTAGTGTTTCCAAGAACACTAGCAAGGCACCATCAGTGATCAATTCTGGACAGACAATTCTGCGCAAACATCAACCAACAACCAAAAAAGGGTAACAGCACTCCTATACTGTTCAGAACTAGAGTCGATGTTGGATCTCCTTCCATTTTGAGCTTGATCACACAGAGCACTGAGGTCCTTCACTATTGAGAGAATGTAAAAAAAAATGACAAGACAACCTTTCCAAAGAAAGAGGTTATCTGGCTACAATTCACATTCGAATGGAAATTTTGTTCTTGATACAATTTTATTCAGTACTGACAAAAAGACGCTTATGCTAACATCTGAAAGAAAGGTCTTACGGGTTAACTGGTTATTTTGGCCAGCCAATATAAGCCATTCAGCAGATTTGTACCACTAATTGATTTGGGCTGTCACTTTAAAAAGTATCCAAAGAATAAACACAAATATATTGGTGGGTACTCAAAATTTTCAGAAAGTAAGAGGGAGGTGGGAAGAAAAAAATTACCAACCATCCAAGTCTAGCATAGGGTGAAGACAGAAAATATGAAGCTGCTGGTTTGGAGATGTACTTTGATGAAGATGAAGATTTTTGATGTGGAGCTGCTAATGCCTTCCAGACATTGGTTGCAAAAGCACGGTTTATCAAGCGGAGGGAGTTCTGAAATAAAAATAAAGAGACACAAGAAAGGTTAAAACACAGACTGAAACTCTACAACATTATGGAGCACCTCAAAACCAAGTCACCGACAGTGGAAAACACCACATTGATCTAAGTGGACTCTGTCTCAGGTCATAAGCACCATTTTAGAAAGAGCTAAATATCTGTATTCTCTAAATGGACCACTGCTAATTGTTCACTGCTATGCTTTGTTGGGACTTCTTAACCCCAAAAAGCAATCATATGATTCTGTAAAATGTAAATACTAAAGTGTAAGTACTAAAGATATATTTTGTCATTTTGGCACTGCAAGATGTGTTCTAACTTCACTATACAATGAGCAAAGTGTAAAAACTTAATATATACAATGTACATATAAATATATGTATTAACAACAGCTGCTGGAATCTCTGTGAAGTGAAGTCACAGGCTACTGTTAATATCCAGAGACCCTGCTCTATCACGCAGCATTGCAGACAGAAATTAAAACAATTTTATACAGAGCTGAATTTTACCTGACACATCTATCACTTCTCACTTACTGTTGCCCAAGATTGTATGTTGAAGTGAACTCCTCTTTCTGTATAATTTATATTCTTTTCAAGTGTTTTTGTAAGCAAAGAAGTTGTATTCTTGTGATGTTCATTTTTTGATTGCTTGTTTCTGTTAAAAATAAAGAAGGCAGTAATAACAATATAACTGAATTAATAACTAGAGTATTTCACAGGGAAGCTAGGAAAAGCAATCATATTGCATGCAATCAGGTGGCCATTTCTCCCATATATAAAAGGAGTTCTCAAGAGATAACAATTAAGCTGGTTTATCTTGAGATGTTTGCCAGAGGAATACATACACTTGTGCTCCGAACAGCTGAGTTCCATATTTCTATACATAAGTCAGGAGATAATTTAGCTATGGTAAGGGTAAACATGAATCAGTAGTTTCATGATTAGTGGAACAAAGAGTGACAACTACATAAAGTGTGAAGACTTAGCACTGCAAGTGCTAGGTAAGTATTCTTGTCCTTAGGCTGGAAGCTAAAAGTTTCTCCTAGGTTCTGCACAATTCCCCTATACAAAGCTTATTTATGCATGTTAAAAGAATCTCAAATTCACTCACAAAAAGATAAGCCAAAAGATCTCTAATTTTCAGTAGCTCCCTGTCCACATTAGTGGAGGACTCTCCTTTCATCAGTAAACCTTTGAACCTTCAGGGTTATACTTACACATAGCTGTCCTTGTGCTCCCTTGTGCAGTTTATAAACAGAGGGTTCTCAGGCAGGAAGCAGCCACTAAAGAAATATGCAGAATGCATTTTAAAGATTTTCCTGCAACTGAAGTGAAACTAAAAGTACAACTTTTACCCTTACTGATTCCTCTGTTGGAAGTCATCAGTTTTCTCAAGAAACCCTGCTTATTCAAAATCAGAGCACCATTACAATCCTGAGAAACCCCTTTGATATTTATTTTAATGACTTTGTGTATTGGGTTTGCATGGCAAGGCTTTGGTAGCAGGGGGGCTACAGAGCTGCCTTCTGTGAGAAGCTCCTAGCAGCTTCCCCCGTGTCTGACAGAGCCAATGCCAGCCAACTCCAAGATGGACCCGCTGCTGGCCAAGTCTGAGCCCATCAGCAACAGTGGTAGCACCTCTGGGATAACATAGTTAAGAAGGGGGGGGAAAAAAGCGGAAAAACTACACAATTGCAGCTGGAGAGAGGAGTGAAAATATATGAGAGGAACAACTTTGCAGACACCAAAGTCAGTGAAGAACGAGGGAGAGGAGGTGCTCCAGCCCACGGAGGTTGATAGTTGAGCAGATATCCACATGCAGCCCGTGGAGGACACCCCGCCAGAGCATGTGGAGGCACCTGAGTGGGAAGTCCGTGCTTGAGCAGGCTCCTGGCAGGACCTGTGGACCCATGGAGAGAGGAGCCCACACTGGAGCAGGTTTGCTGGCAGGACTTGTGACCCCATGGGGGACCCACGCTGGAGCAGTACGTGAAGAACAGCCTGTGGGAAGGACTCACGCTGGAGAACTATGTGGAGGACTGTCTCTCGTGGGAGGGACCTCACGCTAGAGCAGGGGAAGAGTGTGAGGAGTCCTCCCCTGAGGGGGAAGGAGCAGCAGAGACAATGTGTGATGAACTGACCACAACCCCCATTCGCCGTGTCCCTGTGCTGCTGGCAGAGAAGAAGTAGAGAAATGGGGAGTGAAGGTGAGCCTGGGAAGAAGAGAGGGGTCGGGGGAAGGTGTTTTTAAGATTTGGTTTTGTATCTCATTACTCAACTCTGATTTGATTGGTAATAAATTAATTTCCCACAGTCGAGTCTGTTTTGCCTGTGACAGTAATTGGTGAGTGATCTCTCCCTGTCCTTATCTCAACCCATGAGCCTTTTGTTATATTTTCTCTCCTCTGTCCAGCTGACGAGGGGAGTGATAGAGTGGCTTTGGGGGGCAACTGGCCTCCAGCCAGGGTCAACCCATCACACCTTGATTAGGTTCTACATGAATCTCACATGTCATCATATAACTCTTAAAGGAAACTTATTGCAACAGACTCTGCTAATTCTAATAATCTAAAGCACTTTTAATGAAAGTGTCATTCTGGAACAAAGAACACAACAGATTATGCCATATTGTATTTCAAACATCATTTCACAAAATAGCTGCAGTGATATTTTCTATATAAATTGATGGATTAATTGCCACTGTTGATTTTATAAAGTTATTTACAGTAAAGTTACACTTGTAACAGAGCTCTACATGGCCAGAACTTCTATTAAAAATATGATATTCTGCGTACAAGCCTGAGCTTCCAACACTAGAATATATACTCTTACTCTTTCTAATCTTATCTGTCTTCAGTGTCTAAAGGCAATATCTGCCCGCCCCTAGGAAGGGACATCCTTGCTGGCTGATGACAGGCCAGGGAGAACCTCAGGGCATGGCTACGCAACATTTAAGCAGGCCTTTGAGTACATCTTAAAGATTGCCCCAAATTTTCCCTGTTGAGTATCAGCTGGGCATGCCAGAGTCTTGCCTGGTGGAAGGAGTGTGAACATGTAACAAATGGGAACTCAAGGCCTTTGTCATCCTCTGCACCCAGGTAAAAGACAGCCACAGAAACCCCTTTGTCCAAGTGAGAATTTAAAGCTCAGCACCTCTTCTAGGAAAAAAAACTGCCTTCAGAAGAACAATTAGATGAGTGTCAGAATTTGACTACTGTGTTTCATATTTCAGGAAACACAGCTATACCTGGTTCCATTCTCTAGCATATGGCTCGTCAGCTCAAAAATATTGTTTGTCCAGAATGCCATGTCATCCACTCCTCCGAGGAAATATTCGTGGAACTTCTCCACCAGAAATGGAGATTTGCTAGCATATGTTGGAAAAAGCTAAGAGACAAGAAACATACTTAGCAAGATGGATTACATTGTCTTCATGCTATATGTTAATTTTTAAAAGGAAAACAGAAGACCAACCTTGGCAACAGCAAGCCTTTCTCCATGCCTGAAAAAAAAAATCTTCAGAAGTAAATTTGCTTCATTTAGTAGTATTTAATTATTTAAACAGTTCTTTTCAAGTCTTCTGTATGGTACTATGCAAGTCATTGCATTTCCTTGTTGGCTGTTAATATATTTTTAAAAGCTGTAATGTGAGAAGTAATGATCTTTATTGCTGCCCTTAATTTGGAGAGATTCACAATGTTTGTAAATGCTGTATGACTATTGGTAATTAACTGAAATAAAGGATACAGCTAGACTGTTCAGGATATTCAAAAGCACATATTGCCATATATCAAAAGTCTCTTTTGAATTATTCTTGCACTTCAAAGGATCTCCATAAAGCGTAGGTAAGCCGTCTACTTAGGTATGTACACTACTCCTTCAGTACATGAAAATTATTTTGCTAACGTGCCACAATGCAATGGCACTTGAAGACACAGCTGTTCTCACATAAATAGACATAATACGTTGCACGCATAGACATGTTAAATAGCTAAGATGCTGAATCTGTGGTGTAATAATGAACTTAATAGTTATTAAGCAGTCCAATTTTGTATTCTAGCCATTAAAAAAATTCAGGTCTTTTATGAGTTGGAGGTCTTTTTACTGGCCTTAACGCATAAATTTCAGAGCTAGCATTTCAAATAGGATTATCACCATTTTCCTACATATGTTTCACTTATGAAAACCCAGACAAAGCCATTCAACTTACAGTTCAAGAAACAGCAGGTAAGTACAGTCAGTAATTGTGCTTTCAGTTATGATCTCTCTTCCATAAAACTCCTTATAGATAGCTGCTAGGTCTTTGACAGGTACATACCTAAAAACAAGATGAAAGTATTATAACAAGAGTTTTTCCACATCACCTGATAAAAGATTACAATTTTTGTAATAAAAATAGCCTGCTTTAAAATATTCTAAATTTCAAAAGACTATAGAAGATCATGAAGATTTACAAATGCCAGAAAGAACAGGATTGCAGATGCAATTATTCTCTGCAGCACACTCTCCTCCTGTTTAGGTTCAAACTCAGAAACCTGTAGAACCATTCCCCTACGGCTGCTGCTGGCAGAGTTTCCACACTCCCTGTGTGATCACATAATCTTGGAGGATGTCCTCCAACTCTCCGCTGTGCAAATCTACTCCTAGCCAAATGGGCATTTCCCACAGCTATGCCAGAGTTTTATTAATGAACAGTGCCTTCTACACCTAGATGAACTACATCCTACCTAAACCAAGCAACTCAAATGACCTACTTTATCAGCAGAAAAAAAGGCACATGAGTTTTTTAAGTTAAAAACTGTGAGAAAAGAATTATGTACATCTGAAACTGCTGCTTCTTTTTATGCTTTTAAAACCTGTCTAAATTCCACAGCATCTATAACCATAAACATCCTCAACTTCCAAAACTTTAAATGGAAATCTAAGTGAGATTTATTTAACTGAGTTACTTAACTAATTGCTAGGATATTCCAGCAAATATTTTCACTGATTATTTTATATGTAATTAAGGAGATAAATAATCTTTCTTGCTGTGTTCCCACATGTAAAACTCTTTTTTCTTCTGTCCTTCCAGTTTTTGTTGACAGGGAACAGCAAATACGCATATAAGAAATACCAGACTGACTCAGCAATGGTGGGTGGAACAGGTGGATGCAGTCCATGAATGCATGGCTCCGTGGCTGGTGTCAGCGCCACTACTTTGGGTTCTTTGACAATGGGGCGGCCTACACGGCACTGGGCTTGATGAACCCTGATGGGATTCATCTCTCTCAAAGGGGGAAGAGGATCTTTGCCCAGGAACTAGCGGGGCTCATCGATAGAGATTTAAACTAGGCTTGAAGGGGGAAGGGGATAACACTGGGCTTGCCAGTGACATGTTGTGGGACGATGTGCCCAGGTTGGAGGGATGGGGAGCTGGCGAGGGCCCTCAGCCTACTGCTCAGAGACATGCTGGATGCACTACAGCACGCTCGAAGCCTAGAGGAGACGAGCCGGGGGCTCCCGA